CCCCCAGGGAAAGTCACCAATAGCAATCACCTGACCCCAGGATGCTGCAACTGTCAGTTGCCAAGCGCCCAAATTTTGATCATGGGACATGGGGATGCTGCAGTCATAAATTCAAGGACCAGCTGTAAGGTAATTTTTTCAGTGCCACTGTAACTTCCAACAGTCATTAAACAAATGGCTGTAAGAGGGGACTGCCTGCAATTAGCTTCCTTTTAATTATTTCAACCCGGATGTCACAGCACCTGATCTGAACACTCAAGACTGCACAGAATCAATGAATAAAACTCTTTGCCTCATTTCTAGATCCTCACCTTGATAGAACTGTTCATAGTTGAAGATTTCAGTTTCAACATTCCTTGGCAGTAATTTACATGGAGGGTCCTGAGAACGATTGTCCAGCTCCTTGGAGAACGCATGGAAGACCTGACACATTCCAAGTCGCTTGGCCCAGATCCTCCCGTTTTTCTGATATAATAATAAACGTGCAGTCTCTAAGACAAACAAGGTCTTTTCAACTCGCTTCTGATCCGTCAGCATGTCTGGATTTGGAAACTGTATGACCTGTGCATTGTGTGATTGGTGGCAGTTCTCCTGGTTGTAGGTGAGCAGGCAGCTATTTACTTCTGCTTCGTCACGCACTATCTTGTTGTGATAGTAGATAGAGACTTTTATGTTAAATGCAGCAGTTTCTGCAAAACACAAGAGTACACAGTGTAGTGAAAGCCGACTCAGTATCCTTTTGTCTGCAAAGTCTTGCATAATGACTAAGCATTAGCAGAAAACAAAGAAGACAGAAAAAGGAGTCTGGGAAGGAACTACTCCCTACTTTCCAAATAAAAGGTATATTTTTTGTTAGCTATTGCTGCTCAGATATTTTTATTCGTTGCCTTCGTGAGCCCACAGAAAATTCTTTTACTGGCCTAGAAAGGAATCCCCAACCCCCAGTCCCTGGATCTGTACCAGTCCGTGGCATGCCAAAAACCTGGCCTTGCAAACAAGCAAAGCCCCATCCACGGATGTAGGCAGCACACAAAACCACGCCCCCTCCAGTCTACGTAAAAACCTCTCTCCATGGAACTGGTCCCTGGTGCCCAAAAGGTTGGGGGCCACTGACCTAGAGGGTCCTGAGAAGGAACATTATTGATAGTTGGTTCATCTGTTGGGAGAGTAGCTGAAGGTACAAATGTACTCTGTTCCATCATAACTTCCGGGTTTGCTGTAAGCGGATAGTCATTCCTCATTTCATTATTTCTCATTCCATTATCCCGAGGCTCTTCATTCAGATAAATGTTATCAACGAAACAGCTAGTATTGCAGATAGCTTCTTCTAAGACGGAGGAGAAAGAACAATTCTCAAATCAAAAGTCACAAGCATTATATTTTGGCCATTGAGTCACTTTTACGTGTGTCTACTTCTTGCTCAATGAACACAAAAACCTTTGTTTTATTGGGGGAATACGAGGGAGGCATGTCACGATCAGAGAGAGTTTGGGGGAAAGGAAGCTAAACAATGGAGGCATTGGCTAGAAATTAAAAGCCCTACAATGGCAACATGGGTTAGATAGTTTTAGCAGCTGATGCATATGGACTGTGTACTGTTCATTTTTATCCAGTACAATGCTGGCTGATAAACCTAAGATGGATTATGCAAGTGAATCCATTTAGAATCTATGAACCATTGGGCAAGACTGGGAGAAATATTTGAAGTACAACCGATATAATGTAAACAGATCCATAGTGGTCAATAAGTAAGAAGAGGAGGGATTGGGCAAATACACACGTTATGAACACATATATGTTAGGAATATATGATATTGTACACAGATTTGCTTACTTACAATGATTTTGGAAATAAATGCAAATGTTTGGTAGTTTTATCTTTGACCATATATCAAGCTATCAAGGTGGGGAAATGCCTGCTAAGAATTCAAAGAGGTTATGAAGCTGGTGAAAAGTGAAATAAACTGGTGAAAATCCTTATAAGGCTTGGTTTAGCCAAACCACTTATTTCAGTCTTAATGAATAAAATAAGAGGAAAGTGAGGAAAATTGTGTAATATTGCCTTATCCCTATCACATTTTGAACACATTTCTCTGTGTCTCCAGTGACAACAGCCATTCTCTGCACTGCCTTATTGAACAACTCACTAACAATGTTCCTCTGCCCTGTGTTTGTATTTTCTCTTACTAGTTTCCTAAGAGGGATAGGTTTCCTCTCCAAGTATGAAATGTTTAATTGGGAGTCAGGAGACAGCCAATTAAGCTCTCACTTTCTGTTCAACAAGCAATTAGCCTGGATTTTTTCAGTCCTCTCCCACATTTAATAAGTTTGCAAAGTCTGGGCAAATGGAACTAGGAAGAGAGGGGCTATCTTTTGATAGTGTCAATAGGAATTTAAGCCACTGCAGTGATGCAATTTAAGGAACGTTTTGGCCTCCATTTGGGCCGAATTCACCCAAGTATGCTGCAGAATACTTTACTCACCTAACTGATTAAATTGATTTGCACCAGGAAAATTTTGTTGCACATGTGAAAAAGCAATGGTTGACTGGGAAATCTCTTTTGTTGGATTTGCAGGTGGCCAGTGGGGTCCTTCTTGGTAACAGTCANAGGAGAAATGGAGAACGTGACGAGCATTTCAATCCACAAAAAATAGTTACAATGATAAAGGAAAAACAAAACTTTCCCATTAGGATTATTTTCGCAACTCAGTTCTTTAGTTTAAGGATCAATTTGGCTTTAAAGAAACATTTCTTTGGGCAGTCTTTAGCAAAATAGAAAAAATACCTCACCAGATGGACTCACTTTCTCTTTACACTTCCTTCCTTCCTTCCGGAGCGTCCCGACTTCATCAGCCTAGGGGCTGCTTATTCACCGCAGGCTTGAAGCACTTCCCTTGGATCTATCAGGGATTTTGTGATATCTCTGAGACCAGCAACGCTTTGTCTTCCTGATCACCATCTCTACGGGACGGTTTAGGTCCCCAGCAGCAAAAGTGTCAACGGCGGTCTCAGAGTATCGAGACCACATGTTGTAACGTTGCGACATGGCTTCTCTTTCCCACATTTTTTATTTCTGTTCTAATATATATTATTATTCATTCTTGCCTCCATGAAAATGAACTGGATAAAATAAATAACTGAATCCCAGATATTAGTTTTAATTTAGTTAATGTTCTTTAAATAAAATAATTTTAATCAAGCAATCTAAAAATGTACTTAATCTGTCAAAGGCATGGTCCCTAGTAATGATTTTATTAGTTTTAAAATTGTTTAGTGGAAGAAAGAAAAAATATATATGATAGAAGTTAAAAGAAAAATAACTCCCATAACTCAATCTCTCTATCTAGTTATATATTGATCATGTTGAACCTATAAAAACAGAACTAAACATTTTGGTCTCTAATTTTGATTGAAGGTCAGTTCAATTATCTTTAAAAAAAATCATCAAAAATACCCTAGGATAAACTGGACACATTATTGCAGAGGCCAGAAATTTAATTCATTGAAATAACAGGGTATATGTTGTAGTATCAAGCAGTCTTCCCACCCCAATCAAGTAATGAAAGGAATAACTAAAAATAGGGAAAGGGTGATATTTTTATTTAAGATCTGATGTTAACATTTTAAAGCATTATATAACAACTGTGTTTCTTTTATATCTGCAGTATTCATGTTCTGAAATCTTTAACTTTGTTTTTGGTAAAATTATTGTTTCAATGCTGTTCTTCTTTCAGGGTATAGAAATTTTTTAAAAATGGTTTTGCTATGAAGTGGGATATGCATGTTGATTGCCCAGAGGGAACATCACATTTTTTTAGAACTACATGTAATTCCTCCAATATTACTACACTTGTTTTTTTAAGATTCCAGCTTTTAAAAATAATTTTAACAAAATGTGTGATGATATTTTTAAATGCATATGTGGAAATGGATGAAGTGTTAAAGAAAAACATATATGCAGCTATTACAATAAATACATAAAATACAAATGTGCAATAAAAACAACCAAAAATTTTAAACCCAGTTTGAATTATGTCCACATTTTATTGTAGTGCTGTTAATTTTTATGCCTATTAGAAACTGTTTTATTTCCTGTCAATGTTTTCCTTCCTCAATGTAAAAAATATGTACAACACACATAATGCAATTTTACTTGTGGATGGTGATTGTTAGTGACCAGAAACTGACTGTCAGTAAAATAATTCCTGGTTCATTATAAGCATAGAATTGCCTGTCTACTTCTCTGAATCTTTTGGGAAATGTTTATTTTATAAGGTGCTGGAACAAGTTGAATATTCCATGGAACTGATTATTTTTTCAGGAGTTCAGAAGAGCTAATGCTGGAGAAAATAAGCTTTCTTACTTTCTCCTAAAAGAATCTGATCTCCTGAAAGAACTGAATGCTTTCTTTTTAGCAAATTCTTCTTCTTTCAAACAAGTAACCAAGTGCAGAGAGCACCAAGGACTTCACAGTCTTCTTTTTCCTCCCAGGATTTCATAGAGTATAGCAATGACTTTATAACACTATAGCAGTTTTATATAACACACACACACACATACACACGAACTTATAAAAGTAAATAGACATCCCTGTTTTACCTATTGGATATTTAATGCATTTGTTCCACTGCTCTTTTTAAACTACAAATTTAAGCCACTGTAGTTTGACAGCTTACCACAGAATTTTGATGTCACAATAATGTACGTTTCGGAGGGTGAAATATAGTTGTCCCACTCCTGTTAATTCTCTCTTTGACTAGTATATTTCTAGAATCTTAGCAACTACATTAGTGATCAGCTCAAGTTGAACCTGTGAGCTTCATGGATGAGTAGTTTAACCTCTCCTCTCCTATCTGATTATTTCTACTATGCCACAATAGGACTTTCAGCTTATTCAAAGTTGATGCAAGAAGAATTAGACAAGGACAGGGAGGGGGCCAAGAAGAGCTATTTGCTGCTTTGAGTCACAAAGCCTTTTTGAATATATATTACCCATATATATGTAGGTTTACGTATCTAGATACAGACTTCTCCAATATGCAGAATCATTTTTTTTAAAAAAATGGAGGGCTACATTGGGAAAAATTGACTTAGAGCAGGGCTGTCAAACTCCCAGCCCATGGCCAGATGCATCATGCGCTGGCCACACCCACACCCAGTTTAGCGAAGGGGAAAAAAGTCCCGATATATCACGTGATGCTGCCTTGACAACGTGAGTTTGATATCCCTGGAATCACATTGTCCATTACAAAGAGAGAACTGTCACTCATATGAGCTGCCCAGTGAGAGTTGGGCGACCTACAAGTTTATTAGATGATGATGATGATGATGATGATGATGATGATGATGATAGTATCTGCCCTGGTTGTTTCTTTATTGAAACACAGCACAATGGCAGCAGAATTAAGAATTAAATAAAAAATATAATACATTTTCCTTGTTTGTTGTTATTGTTAATATTGTCTCCTAAATTGTGACAATAAAGTAATAATACAAAGATCAATATATTATATACTAGAAAAATAAACATGTGAATCTCAGAATAAGAATTTGATGCTATTTTCTTTATTCGTATCTATACCAAACGTGGGATCCAACTTGATCTTTTAATTTTGTATTTTTAAAGTCAGTTAGTTATACACACTCTCTCTCTCTCTCTCTCTCTCTGTGTATAATATGCTAATCCCTTTAGGCTTCAACTAAGGAAACAAATCAGAGTGTACATGTATTCTGAATTACATTCATGTTATAATATTGGTTTTTCAAAAGAAAAATATACACATTTTGATAACTCTAGGGTATATTTTCAATTATACGCATCTCATGATTAACAGGATTTGA